GTCAAAGACTATTTTATAGTCTCTTTTTAAAAGTTTATCTTTCACAGGATGGCAAAACAGACTTTATGTACTGTGATCAAATATATGTGTTAATAAAGAGACATTGTAATTGAGCCAGTTGAATGAAAGAATTAAATTAATTCATTGGGTTGATTCCGAAAGCATTTGTTTCTCTTGATGGGCACATAAAGCAATAAGATGATTTGTTTAATTCACTTAAATACAAGGTTTGAACACATTTCAAAAATAACAACAATAACAAAAAAGAAAACCAAAACCCTATGATACCTTGAAGTAGAATGAGAGTAGGGGGAAAAAAGATGTAAAGTTATACTAAAAGCAAGGAAAGAATTTCCAAGGGCAGTACAAAGAAAGCAACAAGTGCTGAAAATGGTCTTCAAAAGACTTGTACTGCACTGAACTAAAGGAGTAACTATGTTCTATCACTTCTAAGGATAGAAATGAGATACACATTTTATGAACTTTGTAAGTAAACCAATATAAAATATTTTTTAAATGAGATTTTATGTCACCAAATGTTCTAATTGGCATTTTGTAAATGATGCATTGAGTTTCCTATAAATGAAACAGATCAACAGTATTGAAGGAAATAAATGGCTTTGTTTTGCTAAAAGCTTTTGAAAATGTACCTGAATGCATTTGGTAGAGAGGTAGATTCTGAAGACAGAAAATAGGTAAACACTTTCCAAGGTTTTTTGACATTAACTGAAATGAATAAATTTCCCTGACAAGAGAAATTTTTCCTTGCCAATTATAAATCCAACCACAATTTTGTTTCAGTTAAGAAAAAAACTATAAATTTTTTTTCTTTTCTTTTGGATGGTTTATATATTGGGATCTGGTGGCACAGAGGTTAAACACTCAATTGATTTTCTTGTTAAGTGCCATCCTGTCGAGAATGACTAATAGAAACCCTATGAACACATCTGAACCCTGCCCTTGCCTGTATAATTTTCACACTTCCTGACACATTGGAGTCCATTGCAGTGGTAACTGTGTCAATTCACTTGGTCAAGGGTCCTCCTCTTCTTCACCTGACCCTGTACCTTTCTGAACATAAAGTCCCTCTCCAAGAAATAACCCCTCCTAGCAACATGCCCATAGTTATGTGAGGAGAAGCAGGATTGGCCATTCGCTTCTTTAGCTCTTAAATAACAGGCCTTTGCAAACTCTATGGACAAAAGAGGAACACAGAAATTTATTGCACTAAGCACTCAGAGGTGAACATAAATATCAGAGGTTAAAATCCTTGCTCATGGATAGGAAGACTCAATATTGTGAAAATGACAATCTTACCAAAGACAATCTATACGTTCGATGCAATCCCAATACAAATACCAATTCCATTTTTTCAATGACATGGAAAGGCAATTTCCAATTTCATTTAGAATGGAAAGAGACCCGTAATAAGCAAATCACTCCTTAAAAAGAGAAACAAGGTAGGAGGCATCTCACACCCTGATTTAAAAACCTACTACACTGCCATGGTGGTCAATACACTGTGGTCTTGGTGCAATGACAGGCACATATATCAATGGAATAAAATTGAGAAGCCAGAAATCAGCCCATCTACCTATGGACAACTGATTTTTTACAAGGAGATGAAATCAGTTAAGTGGGGATATGACAGCCTTTTTAACAAATGGTGATGGCAAAATTGGAAAACCATCTGCAGAAAACACAAAAAAGACCCACACGTCACACCATGCATAAAAACCAACTCAAAGTGGATCAAGAACCTAGGACTAAAACCAAGGAATATAAACTTCATTAGAGAAAAGCTTGGAAGAACTCTAAAAACACTATTTTACAGCATTAACAGTCTTACAAGAATCCTGAGAAACCTGCAACCAGGAGAGGATAAAACAAATGAATTGGACCTTCTAAGAATCAAATCCCTATGCACATCCAAAAACTTCTCCAACAGGGTAAAAAGGGAAGCCACAGACTGGGGAAAAAATATTTGGTAATTACATGTCTGATAAGAAACTTATATCTAGAATATATAGAATACTTGAGCCCCACAACAAGGTAAACATACACAGCCCAATTGCAAAATGGGCACAGGACATAAACAGACACTTACCAAAGAAGACATTCAGATGGCCAACAAACACATGAGTGTTCAAAACCCCTAGCTCTAAGAGAGATGCAAATCAAAACAACTATGAGATATCATCTCACACCAGTAAGAAGAGTAAAATTTAACAGAATAGCAAAAAAGTGGTGGTGAGATTGTGGAGAAACTGGAATCCTTATTCACTTTTGGTGGGATCAGAAAAGGTGCAACCACTCTGGAAGGCAGTATGACGCTTTCTGAAAAAAATTGCAAATAGAAATAGCATTTGACCCTGCAATTCCACTACTAAAAACATATCCTAAAGAAACGGTAACTGCCACCCAAGAAGGTATATGAAGACCCATGTTTATTGCTGCTTTGTTCACAATAGCAAAGAGTTGAAAACAACCCAAGTGCCCATCAACAAATGAAAGGATAGAGAAGCTGTGGTATATTCACACAATGGAATACTATGCTGCACTGAAAAACAAAGATCTTGTGAACTAAAACAAAATGGGTGACCCCAGAGGACATTATGCTGTGTGAAATATCTCAGTTATAAATACACAAATAAGGCATAATGCCACTGTTGTAAAACAGGACTGACAGGGATCTTGGGGGGAAACAAAAGGGAGATAAATAATGTACACGGCATTGGAACAGATGAGGGAGAGAACTGTATAAAAGGAACATATAATTAGGTACTATTGGCATGACAAGAGTCTGGAATAAGAGATGCATAGTAAAGTGGACTGGGGGTGGGGTACTGTATAACAATGAAAGAACTTTTTTCCCAAAGAAAAAAGCAAATGAGGAGAGAGGCAGGGAAGAAAATGTGCAACACTGAATGAGTAGAAACCCAAGTTCTTTATAAACTTTCATTAAATATCAAGTTTAAAGAAAGAAAGAAAATTTTCCTATATCATTAAACCTTGTCACATTTAACAAAAAAAAGAAAATATGGCTTGGGGAGAGGGGAAATAACAACAGAAAAAAATAACCCTACCAACCATTTCATGGAAGCAAGTTGTGACAGGCTGTTTCCATAAATATTTACATCTGTGGAATGCCTGTAGAAAATTCCACTCTGTTCTGTAATGTGGCTATGAGTTGAGATTGACCAAATAGAGATGGGATTGCCATATCTTATGGTTTTTAAATTCTTATTGTTGTTTATGTCTTTGTGTGATTTTTTGACAGTTTGCACCTTCTATGGAAAGTGAGTTTATTAGAGCTGGACAGTGAGTAGGGATGATAGAAAGAGAATTAGTGTCTTTGAGCTGTGATGCTAGAGAAGAGTGTTGAATGTGCCATGGACTGCTAGGAAAATGAACAGATTCATCCTAGAGAGGGTTAAACCAGACTATTCCTTGGAGGCAAGGATTCTGAAGCTTCGTCTGACATACTTTGGGCATATTGCAAGGAGACATCAGTCTCTGAAGAGGAATATCATGTTTAGGAGGCTGGAGGGACAGCACAGGAGAGGGAGACCCTCGATGACGTGGATTGATTCAGTGACTGAGGTTATGGGGATACATGTGTCAGAGACAGTGAGATGGGCACAGGTTAGAGCAGAATTGAAGGCTGTTGTACATAGGATCACGATGAGTTGGAGGTGACTCAATGGCACATAACGACAATAAACATTTGAAACAGTGACATATTTTGCAAAATAGTACTTTTCCCTTTCAATCCTGGTGCTCTATTTGGGTTTGAAATCACACTCTACCATTCATACAGAATGTGTGTGTGTGTGTGTGTGTGTGTGTGTGTGTATACATATACATACATACATATATATGTATGTATATGTATACACACACACACACAGAGTGAACTCATCTATATAGACAGAACATAAATACAGAATATACATACACACACAGAAAAAAAAATATATATATCTTAAAGAGATAATAGGTTGTAAGGCCTGAAAGGCAGGAGAGATGATTCAGTGGTAGGACCCTTGTCCTCCACGTGATATCATGGGCTTTGATTCCCAGCTATTATTGTGCTGTGAGCTCAGTGTTTATTGTTTGTCAATAAAGGTTTATGTGCTACTACTACTATTGAACAGGTTTAAGGGAGCTTTAAGACTAAGACAGACTAGGAAGAAGAGCCTAAAGCATATACTTCTGAAATCAGTTCATGAAAACCCTTTAATTCTTTTTATCTATTATAAATTAAATTAATCTTTTTCCTTAAAAATGCACTATTTTTATTTGTATTTCATCTTATGAAATTGGAGGCTGCAAAATGCTCAGCATTTCTTAACTCTTTATAAGCCTCAAGTTTTTAACTATAAAATAAGAACTATAAAAATAAAAATTTGTCATTTTTAGTATGGCTTCTGACACACAGTAAACATTGAACAAATGTTAGCTACCATTATTTTGCCTATATTACTAATATCACCATTATTAATGCTTTCATAAAGGACTAATTAGGATTAATTTAAGTGGTTTAGGAAAACTCTTAGCCAGGGAATTGGTAGTAAGCAATTTTAGTTTTGCCCCTTTAAAATCCATACAGTCTTCTGTATTTTATTATTCTCTGAGTATTGTAGACAGAACTCAAATAAATGTCTTAATTGCAAACGATAATTTTTAGGATATGATCATTTCAGAAGTTAAAATAGTACAACTGTATTTTGAGGAAGGAGGTGTTATTTAAATAATATGAAAGGAAACAAATTTTACAAGAGAATATTTTACCCTGTCACATAAATATAGTTCAAATCCTCTGCAATAAAGACACTTCATTGATTTAAATGAAGTTATCGAAAACCACAAAGATTTGCAATTTTTGAATATGAAACCACTACGTGTCATTTTTCACTTATACAAGTCAGTTTAACAATTTGACTACCTTTGTTCTCATTTTAATGATTATAATTTAGTAATAAATAATTTTATTTCAGGGATTACCTGCGAGCCGTGTGAGGTATAGAGTAGATGATGTCCAGTTTCCTTACCCTGCTAGCATTTTTGATGTTCAAGAAGATTCTGGATTGGTAATAACTCGAGTCAACCTTAATGAAGAACCCACTACAATTTTTAAGGTGAGTTTTCCATTATCCCTGTGCTATCGTTCTGCTGCTTAACTTTTCATCACAGCTTCGTTTTATAGATTACTATATTTATTTTCTTCTTATTAAATTCTCGAATTATGAAATGATACCATTATTTTTGTTGTTATCTACAATCAAGTTGGAAATTACCTGTAAAAAGAGCAAGGTTCACCTGGGGAGTGTCATTTCTGACCTTTATCAACTTCACAGGAGGAAATTATTCCTGCCCACAGAAATAACACAAAACCAATTCCCATGAAGTCAGACATGTCCCCCACGCTTCCATGCCTCCTTCTACTCAACACCAGTCTTACTGCTTGGCAGGGTCCAAAATCCAATGTGGATAGCTCACATACCAGGCAGAGCTATATTGGGGAATTAAAAGGTTATAGTCAGATTAATAACAAAATATAATCAAGACAGCACCCAAGGGGTACACGTGAGCACATCAGCCTTGAGCCTCATGGCTCTACTTGCCAAAAAAAGTTCTCAGTCCTGCCACCATTAACTTCCCTAGTAACTTTCCAACAAAGTCCTAAGTCTTGCCAATGTTGGTTTCCTGCACCCCAGAGTCCCATCTCACATCCAGTTCTCCAGTTCAACTATCACTGCTTCTGCTTCCTGGACAGGATGGGAGACATCTGACTTATGATATGGGAAGAATCTCTTATCTTTGCTGCTTGAGCTGGTCAATTTATTGGCAAGACTAGCCAATCCTATTGTAGATTGCTGAGATCAGCCAATCCCCTTGTGGATTAGTAGATAGCCAATCCCTTTGTGGATAGGCCAATACACGTCACTCACACAATCCCACCCCTCCACACAGTTGGTAATCTATGCTAGAAAAGCCATATCAACAAGACCCGTAGCTGACCCTTTGGCATGTTTTTTCAGAGGCAGTTAATACGTGTGAGGAGACTGTACATCCTTCTCCCGTACAGAGCAGCTGGTGTATGTGAATTACATGCTTTTGAGATTAGAGCACAGCTTCTTGCCACTAGGCCACCAGAGCTCCCCACATTAGCTATATTACATATTAAAAAAAATAGCAACCCAGAACCCAAAACAAACCTTTGTTGATTTGTAACCAACTCATTGCTTATCCTCTAGTAGGTTTTTAGAGGCTTTAAATTACAAGAGGAGATTTCTTGTCTTTTCCTCTGCAGCATCTGGTGGATTTGAACCACACTTGGTTTGAAAGCACAATTTCTTATCCACTAAGAAGCCACCAGAGTTCCCTGTGTGATCTATATGAATTTTAAAAACACTTTAGTAAAAAGAAAAAGAAGGAAAGGAAGGAAGGAAGGAAGGAAGGAAGGAAGGAAGGAAGGAAGGAAGGAAGGAAGGAAGGAAGGAAGGAAGGAAGGAAGGAAGGAAGGAAAAAGAAAGAACCACCCACACACACTAGATTAAGAGTTCTATACCATGAATATCCCATGAACTGAAGAAAGAACGAACAAATCTGTCTGGGAAAAACTGCAGACAGAGTGTTCCTTGAAGGCAAAGCTGGTAAAATTTCCTCTCACGTACCTCAAGCATGTTTCTAGGAGAGGCTATTCCACGAAGAGGGACACCACCCTCAACCAGATGGATTGACGCAGCACCTACAGCAACAGCTTGATCGAGTGTGTCAATGATCGTGAGGAGAGCACAAGATAGGAAAGGGTTAAGATCTATTGTTCTTAGGGTCACCCTGGGTCATACTCTACTTAATGGCACCTAACAACAACAATAACAAGTTAATTGCTGGACTGCTAACTTCCAGGTGGGCAAGCTTCCATGTGAGAGAAAGATGACACTGTGTCCTTCTGTTAGAATTTCCAGCCTCAGAAACTTGTGGAGGGTCACATGAATTATATTCCACTCACCAGTAATGAGTTTGGGTTTGGCTTATAAATCCTTATAATGAAGTCCCACTCAAATACATTAAAAAAATATATATTTGAAAATGCTGTAATTGTATTATTTGTGTTATTTTAATCATTTAATAATATTAATATTCTTGAAGAAGGAGTGGCATCCATTTCCATAATAGCTTGCCTCCGGAAAACGTGTGAACCTGAAGAGAGGATGAAAGGCACCTAAGCGTCGAGGACTCTCCTTCATAGGGTCACTATGAGTCACCTGTGACTCGATGGCACTTAATAACAACAACAACAACAATATTAATATTGTTCATGCCAATAAATGCAATGATGCTCTTAATGGCTATGTGGTATCTTACTATATAAATATACCATAATTTAAAAAAAATTAATCTAGTAAACTAATAACCTGATGGACAATTTGGGTGTTTATAACTTTTTGTAATAACTCTATTGTCATGAATCACCTTCCTTTTTTCCTTAAGCATTAACAAGTAAAATTGCTGCATCAAGTGTATGTATTCTTAATAAATTATGCTTCTAGAAAATTTTAAATAATACTAAACTTCATCAAGTGCTCTCAGTCTTTCAAAAGTAAACCCATTTTCCAGTAGCACTCAACCATGAATATTATTGTTGATACTAATTTTTCATATTTGTTGGGGAAAATATACACATACTGGATTTTTGGTATAGCCTGCTTTTCTTTATCACATGTGTAAATTAACATATCATCTCTTTTATCTTTCATGTATTTTTATATAAGTGAAAACAATGCCTGTTTCTAGATGTAAAAAATATTGAAAAGTATTTACTATAACCATAAATACTTAATTGAGTGTTTGAATGTCCCAGTTTTATATAACTACTTAGAGTGTGTTTTGCCACTTGTGAATGAAGTCTTCAGTGCTAAAGAAGAAATATTCGCATGGCTAAGAGCTTACCATTCATATGGTTAAGAGCTTCTCCTGGTAAATATTAATAAGTAATATGTCTGACATGATTTTATTATAGTTTTTAATAATTTTCTGTTTATACATTTATAGTGACTCAAAGATAACTTGAAGTTATAAGAATAAACCTTGTTTATGTTTCTCCAGATCTATGTTGAATTTGTTTCGATTAGGACCATATAAACTCATAAATAATAATATATAGCCCAGAGCAAAAGAGAGTTTTGGAAAAATTTGGTATTTCTTAAAAATAAACATTATGATTATTTTTGTTGTAAT